ACATCTCAGCGGATGCAAGAGAAGATGGAAACATGTTATGATTAAGAACTACAATAATGTCTCTGCTCATTTAATCTTCTTTCTTTTGACAATGTAACTGTTGCTATCCAAAGCAACACTGTAACATGGGGGAGTCATCATCACTAACTGCTTGTTCTCTTTAACTCTCTAGTAGTAATATGACCAATATATCAGAGACCGGCTTACGAAGACCAAAGGATCACTGACAAATGAAGGCAGAGGAGCTTTGCTTCTATTTTTAAGGCCTTTGTGTGACTGAATGGTATAGACTGGCTAAATGGAAATACTTTCAATTATTACTGAGAGGCCAGATCGGCTTGCACTGCATGACGTCCACCGTCTTGCTACAAAGCACCTTGAATGAAGACGAAAGAACGTCCAGTCAGACAGCCAGCAGTTAACCTGAATGGCTAATTACAGTGAACACAGATGAAAAACGGGGGGGATTATTGAACGAGACGCAGGTGGATTATGAACGGGTCTACAGTCGTTTCAACTTGAGACTCTCAGTTCTCACGCTTCTGTGATTCGCTCAGGTCCGGTTACATGTAGCTGATACTTGTTCTTGATTGGCCACAGTTTGTTTACTGGGATCATTAAAGATGCAGTCACCTGCACCTATACTAGGACACATGGAAAAGACAATGGCAAAGACAGCTCTCTACTCTAAAGTCATACAAATAAATAGCAGCATCTGACATCACTAAGACATGGCTGCAGGCTTAGTAGTTATCTATATTTAGAATAGTGATAGAACGCATACATTCCAAAAGATATAATGACTTTATTGTCATTGCACCACGTATATTACAGTACCTAATAAACAAGCAACCCAATACATTAAAATGACAATAATTTAAAAAAAGACAGATTTAGCATTTCTGAATTTGAATCTTATAATTAAAAAGGACATAATTACAGGAAGAAATATATATATATATATTTGTATTGTCGTAGTCCCTGGTGCAATGACAATTAAGGAATGATTCTTCTTCTAATTGTAGTGGAGTTGCACTACAATTCAATCAAGAAGACTGTATGTATCGATTGGCTCAATCACTAATTATGCGGGACAATTTAAAAGAACGTTGAGGGGAATATATCCACATCCTGATTCGGCTAAACAGCCCGCAGAGTGAATGACTGTGTGCTTCTTACAGCGGGGGTCAAGACAAGTGCGTTCCGCCACCACACGGTCAAAACAAAGGATGAGCCCGGTGAACAAAGAATGCTGACTCGGCACTATCCTATAATTTGGACTGAAAGAACAACCACTCTCAACAGGAAACAGAGCTACGCGGTGTCCAGTTTCCTGCAAACAGGACAGGGAAAACATCTATGTCTCTTTATTATGTCCTGCAATGCTCTCTATATGATGCGAGAGCTATTCACATATAACCACCCGTGTTATTTGAGTCTGTTTGTTTATACACCCAATGTAGGTTAAATGCACACCACATGTTTTCTTTGGCATCCGTCTGCTGACTGCCACAAGTTGATTGTGTGTGTCCTAGGCTTCTGCTTGTCTACAGTAAGGAGGTATGTGGGCATAAATAAATGATCCAATCTAGTGCCTGCGTCCATGAGTGTGCACACATGGGTAGATGCGCTGTGTTTGAGTTTGTTGCAGCAACATAAACTGTGTGTCCTTCCTAAATACGGAATGGAAGAGATAAAAGGGAAAGGTCAGGACAAATTCCTTATCTTGTGTAGGCTGTAATACTTATCCTGAGATGTGCCAAATACTAGAAAATAACACTGTTAGGGAGGTAATTGCAACTATTCTAGATGCACACTTGAGATTTTATAAAGAAAATGTATAGACAAATGTTGATTAAGAATATATTGACATGATTGGGAATGTGACCATAAATAGGCATACATGTTAACTGTCTAAAACTGTTTCAATGCCAAAAGAAACTCATCTCATAACCTTTCATTGTCTTTCCAGACTATAATAAATGTGACTCGTATGCAGACACACGAACACCTGCAAGGCCATGGCTCGATAAACTACCCCTGGAGAAAAGTAAATAAAATAATTGATGGATGATATTGATAACTACATTTGATTAAACTAATTAAAAATGTCCACAGTGTAGGAGATGACAGACACTTTGGAACAGTGCAGTATTGCCATGGCAAATCAACCTCTATGTTGAGAGCTCAAGGTTATTTATGGAGGATGAGCCAGCAGGGACATGTTTGGTCAAAAGGAATTGTTTGTTGTAAATCAATGTCGAAGGTAACTAGAGAACATTGAAGTGAAAGAGCACACAGTTATGGAGAGACATGTGTGGGTTTTATAACGTTTTTCCGATAGAGGCGAAGTCCCTCCCTTTCTGGGGGACCTCCATGGGACCTTATTTCGGAGAAAGTATGTATTGAAGTCAATGGGGAGATAAAGATTATCTTTCGATCCCGTTTGAATTGTGTCACAAATTACACATATGATGTTTGTCAATCTTAAAAAGATAATTTTGCAAGTCAAAAAAATAAAAATGTGTCGTAAAACTGTGAAGTAACACATTTTTTTGTGTGAAACCGCTCAATGAACTACATTTCCCGTCTCGCACCACACACCAAGATGGCCGTCACGTTGGCACATTTCACTTCTTTCTTTCAGAATGAGGCGAAAAGTATTGAACGAGGTGAAAATCACTACAAGTCTGGGCATGTTGAGAGCTGCACATACACACAAGGGGAGTTAGTCGGTTCCGTAAGAGCCAGCATGCGGGACCGGGACTCTGGGATTTGTAGTCTTTCTAGTTGCGTATTTTTCATAGTCTTATATTTCAACAGTTTTACGAGAAAATGTGACATTTTTGACATGGAAATTATTATTTAAGATTGACAAACATCATATGTGTAATTCGTGGCACAATTCAAACGGGTTCGAAAGATACGTTTTCTCTCTCCATTGACTTCAATACATGATTTTTCCGAAATAAGGTCCCATGGAGGTCACCGGAAAGGGAGGGACTTCGCCTCTCTATGTAGTTTGTACAGAAACAAATACATGTTCAATAATTTCACCCTTCCTACACAAACATCTTGTTATTCTGAGCTGTGAAAAGACTCATTTCAATTCAGCAGCCAAAAAGAGGATTTCCATCCCTTTTTATACGTTTGTCAAAATGTAGGTAGAGAGAAGATGAGAAAAACTGTAACGTCTAAAAGGAATTCACATTTTAAAAGAGGCATGCTATTAAAAAGCTGAAAAGTTATATCATTTTCCATCGATCTCCCTGGGTAGTACAGCTCTCATTGAAATGACAGTGACAAGAGAAATGACAGAGACTGACATTATCATGTATCATTCACTGCTGAAAGAGAATGAACATAGGAGTGTGACCAAATACTAAAAAAAAGTAATGATGTACCACAGTGGTTCTCAAACTTTTTTCAATAATGTAACCCCTTTGAAAAAAAGTACCCCCTGATCAGCGCAAAAACAAAGTTAGGGAAAAAATGCCTATATAAAGAGGTACAGTACAGCGCTGCACCATCAGTGTCTGATTTATTTAGGAGGCGTGTGTCGCAGTGGATTAGTGCGTTGGTGTTTGGATCAGGGGAGCACAGGTTCAAACCCCACTGCCGTCAACATGTCGTTGTGTCCCTGGGCAAGACACTTCAACCCAAATTGCTCCTGTGGGGATTGTCCACAGTATTGAGTATGTAAGTCGCTTTGGATAAAAGCGTCTAACAAGTAACATGTAATAATTAAAACAACAACCTTGTAACTGAGAAACACTTAAATGTTACATTTCAAATGTTACAATCCATCACTAAATTCATGGCAAACCAATTTCAACATCATGCAATAACACTAAGACGACATTAGTTGCCTTGAACTGATCTTTTTAATAAGTTGTACTTACAATGTAGTGAGAAACGTGGGCTTGTGCTTCACTGAGGATCTTTGTCATTCTGACAGGGAGGCCACTGCAGTTATTACACTTCGCGTTTTGAAATATGTGTAACTCTGTTCATATAAAACCCACACTGCTCAAACTTCCTTTCTTTATTTATTTATTTTGGGGCGTGGGGAATGAAGAGAAAAAAATATATGAGGATTTTGACCCTCATATAAACATATGCATAATGCAGCGCTATACTTTGCGGCCACACTGAGCAACGCTTATTGTTTAGGTCCTTTGATAAGCAGGCAGTCAAATCATTAACTAGAACTAGCTAGATCTGATAGATTTGGAAATAAACGCGAGTGAAGTATAATCGGACACGAGAGAGGGATCAGAGATCAGATCAGCTGCTGCTGACGGAGAACAAGCAGCTCTGCATTATCACAGCTCCGTCCGCTGTGACGGACCGTTGAGCGAAGCAAAATAAACTAAGAGTTAGACCTAACACACTTAGCTCGTTTATCTACCCTGGAACTAGCTAAACTACTTTCGGGTCACTTATTACAGGTTCAGCGAGCTGCACAAGACTGACGGTCTGTCAGGAGAGGGAGAGGAAAAGAGAGCACCCAGTTTATTTTCCCCCATTTTATTATCCAGAATGACTGTAAACCTTTGAATAAAGTAGTTAATCTACTATTAGTAGTTTGTTTAAACGCATTACTTATGTTATATAAAATAAATCTCACGTACCCCCTGCAGTACTCCAACGTACCCCTAGGGGTCCGTGTACCCCCATTTGAGAACCACTGATGTAGCGTACTCGAAGGACATTGTTTCCCATTTGGTTAAAAACAAGCAATCAACCTGCGTGCCTTTTCTGTGATGATTCACTTTCATACGAACACAGTAACATTTGAGTGTGTTACTATGGAGACATCGAATGTTGTCGAGTAACTTTTTTCCAACAGCTTTCAGGAGAGCTTTTAGATGTGTTGTTCATCTCAATCTTCTCACAACTTCTACAATGGTTTTTTTGTATTGTCTGTACAAGCAGAAATGCAGAAATTCAAATTGGTGTAGCTCATCACAAAACCGTATTTTTCCCCCCCCTCTCACCTTGGTGGTGTCATCATGGGAACGTTGATAGCGTTTCCAGCGGCAACCGTAGATCCCAGTGATACAGGACAAACACAGCTGGCGCTCATAGACCTGGAGGGGTTGGTGTTTCACCATGCTCCTTCAGTCAGTCCTGCATCCAGAGCTCGAACATCCCACTGTCTATGGGGTATCCTGTAAAAAAAAAAAAAAAAGCATTTCAAATGTTAACAACATGAGGCCAAAAGTGTTGGGACAAAAAAAATCAATCCATGGAACAAACAGTGAAGCACGTCAGGCACTTTGATGGAAAACACATGCTGACCTGAAAAGCATCTGATACAAAGCCCGGCCTTAAATTAAGACCTCGTTACCCAGCGCTAGTTTCCATTGACAACTGACTGCTAGGAGCTTTCATCAATATGATCAAGAAAGAAAAAAAAGAACATTCATTTGAACAGGCCCTTGTGAGCCCACCATTTATTAAATTACAGTGACCATGAATATATCACACAGGCACTCCAGATCTAGGTCAAAAGACAGCGTGCAGGCCCCATCCCTCCCTTTTATGTCAGGCCCAGAAGAAAGGCCAGGCAGAGAACAGGCCAGCAGGCGTAACAAGGATGTTATGCAACAATGCCATTTTAGCAAAGCCCTTCAACTTACAGTATGAAAATCGATGCATCCCGCTTTTAACAGTGTTAATGGTCCACGTGCCAACTACTAGACCTGCGAGCGGTACAAAGCCAATTCTGTGTTGCAGTGAACCAAAAAACCCTCTCAATCAGGAAGAGCAGCAGAGCACCATGAATCATGATACTGATCAAATGTATCAGCACTACTTTTATGCCTTTCTATTTTTGAGTTATTGACAATGGTAGAAAGATTCAGGCTGCTTTGGACGTGAAAACGCTGAGCTACAACTCGGTCCTCCCTTTGAAATGCTGCTGTGTCGGCATTGAGGCTCTAATGAGCTATAATAACAACGGTATTACAGCAGTGCTGGCTGTTATCACAAGTTTACCTCACTCCCCTGAGACATGGTGGAGCCCGTTGTACTGCCTCTGATCAATCTGCAGTTAAAAGTTCGTCTTGGTGACATCGAAAGCATAACATTCTGAGTGTAATGAATGGATTATCTCTGCTGATAACAATCAAACAAACATGATTACAACTTTTTATAAGCACGCAATCATGTTCCCTGAAGCATTTACACTGGCGACACCACTTCTTAACAGTTTGTGAAGCACAGCTAGCATGCGGCTAAGTCAGATGTGATGTTTCAGAGCAGGTCTGCATGTTAACTACACTCTTCCTGCTGTAATCTGGCTGTCTCAGACTCTAGGCAGCTGCTCATTAGCATCTGCTGCAGTGGCCATGTTTCCTGTTATTAACAGCTCTGAGGAGGGTGGGCCTGACCCAAGGGTACAACGATTCCAGCCCACCTCAGCAGGACCACAATGCTCTTGACAGACAATGCCTTACATATATAAATGTTGTATTGTAATCTACCACCTACAAAGGCTTCTCAACATCTTTTGCATTCTCAAGAATGAGAACTAAAACCCCCAAAATAAGATAACATTTGAGTACTTGCGGTTCCCTCGTTTTGACGTCAATGGGTTTTGTGATTGGGTTTTTGGTTAGAAGTCTGAAATTAGGTAAAACTACTTTTAAGCAATTTGTACGATATGTCAGAATAGATTCCAGTCAGATATTTCTGAAGCGTTTAAGTGTCATAAAAAAGGCAGTAGCTAACATGTTCTACTAAACAGCATCACAGTGAACACAAGACTGTCTTTATCATAGTAGCAGTGACGTGAAATAATGTGGTGGTTTTGTTTATAGCCCTCCATTTAACCTCTGGTTGTGCTTCTTACTGTACCATTTGCGATTGCATTTACGCTTCAAAAATAATAAAAGTGCTTTTAATATCTGAAGATTAACCAGCTGAAGAATGTGTCTAGACATGTGTTTGACAGAGAATATTTGCTGCAATTATCCAAAAGAAAAATACAAGTGCAAAGCTAACTGTCAGCTGTCATCCCTGCAGCGCTCTACATGAAGCCAGAGAAATGTGTGAAGGCATTGAAAGAAAAAAACCTGGTTTAAAACAATCTGAAAAATGTGCTAGAAATAATCACATTATCTTATTGAGAGTCTGCATCGCTGTATTCTCAAGCTGTCTGCAGCCAACCAGGGATTTGAACCTTGATCAGATCAGGAACTGCTTGATAACAAGCATAGCAATTATGCTTGTCTGATGCGTCTCATGAATAAATCATGTCTGACGGGTTGAAGGGGATCACAGCTTTGTAAGCAAGTCATTTCCAGCCTTGAATCTAGCAGCAGGGCTCTAAGGAGTCAAGCAGTTTGAAGAAGGTTCGAACAACAGGTGAGCATTTCACTAGACAGACTTTCTGTTTATGACATGGAATATCAAAATGTCCCAGTCACTTTCATGAAATTCATTGTAGATATTAAAAGCACAAAAACAATTTGACCTACTTTTAAGAGAATTATTTTTTGAATTCCACTTATTTTAACACAAGGCACAGGTTTATCATTTGTTCACTAAAAAGCTGTTTTGTCAGCTCAGCTTTTGTTCACTTTATAGTTTTATAGGAGTAAATTAACTTGGATACAATTCAAAAAAATGAAAATAAACCCATTGACAATTCAATAAACATTTTTAAATATGATTTTTAATTAATGTTTCCTACTGCAGTATGTAAACCCAAACACTACATAACATATTCATTTGATTAAATTAGTTAATATTAATATTAGCAGGCCTGAGCTGTAATGATGGGCGTGTATGATGCACGGTTCCTAATGACGTAGGACAACGTGTGTTTGTGTCTGGGCATGTTGAACAAGACAAAAACAATCGTGCAGCTGACAAAGTAAAGCTCCATTTGCGTGTTCATCGAGGCAACGTAACAACCACTTTCAGCACGTCGTGTTGTCACTTGTTGACAAATCGTAACGTTCAGACCTGTATCCACAGCATGTTGTTTCAGCACAGTGGCTCACGCGGCTTAATTCACAACATGTTTACCTCTTAAATCTTCCATTTGTGCCAGTTGTGTCATTTATATCACAAACTTCACTGCTCCTTCAACTGAGCTGAACATCAAACAGCCCATTCATTTCAATATTATCATAATTAGAGAGAGCAGCACTGAGATCACATATTTGTCACCTTGAGTCATCCATATTTTACTTCCGAGTTAATTTGCCCCAACCCTCATCAGAGCTGTATGAAGACAGAAGGAAATGTGCTGCAGTTAATCCTTTTATCAGCAAAGTGTCTGACAGAAACTCATCAGCTAAATGACCCAGAGGACACAATTACATATTTTATAAACTGTGATGAATTGGCAAAGTTAAAGTTTAATAAAGCATGGGCAATGAGGTTGTAAGATTAACTCTAGAGCCAAAAAAAGCTCAGCTGAAATGGTGAGCTTCACATCACACATTTTTATAGAAGACATCTATGCCGAGAGTTTAAACACCATTTCAGATTGTATTAGCGGACCCATCCTATCAGGACTGCATCAGATTAAACCGGTGAAATCAATAGTGAACAAAGCTTTCCACCGCAGCACGAGTAGCTTTCGTAAAATATTTGCGTCTGTCACAAGTTGTCTGACTCTGAACAAGAGATGATTTGAGGGTTGCATGAAAACCCCTAAACGGCTGTTGTCATCCCCTTTTCTGCTGCCTCATTTCCTCCAATCACAGGCACAGAGAGGGAAAACAGTCTGCAGGGGAGGAAATGCTTCAGCACTTTCCCAGCCGAAAACAGTGTCTTCTCCTGACCAGGCAACTGAGGGAGAGGGCAAGCAGCAGAGGACTGTGATCCAAGGCCAACACACTTATGGGGGGAAAAATACACGTCCGCATTTCAAAACCCTTCTACAAAATGTGTCTGATCTGATGACTGTAACATAATACTACAATGTCAATGTTTCTATTGTGTTTCCAAAACTCAAACATTTAACCCATCTTCGAATCATTCTGAGAATCGACATGCACAACAAATTAGACTTCTGCATTACACAGTTACACTTGGGTACGATACACAGTATTAAATGAGACACTGAGCTAAATAAGCTCCAACAATTCTGGTTCCTTTTTTGGTTTGCTGTCATTAACTATCATGCTGCAGCATCTCATTTACTCTCTGTGTCGGGGATGAGCTCTTTCAACCCTCATTGTTAATATAATTGCGATGACAATTTGTAAAAAGCGAATAATTCATAATTAAACCCGTCCAATAAGGGTTAACAGAAAACCGGTATATTTTGATCTGCTCTTTTAGTATATCTCATTCCACTGTTTTAAACAAACATTACTAGCCTGGCTTATTTCCAGATATCTTAACATTTGGCAAATTCTTGTAAACATAGCTTCGGCATGAGTCAAAGCAGCAGCCCAGCGCAGCAGCCCCCGCAGCAGCACCCACCCCCCGCCAGCGCTACCTGCAGGCAGGGTTTCTCCTCAACACTGATGGGGGAGAAAGGAGGAAAGAACAGGAAGAATGATATTATTGACTGATGTCTTCGTTCTTTACTTTTCTAAACTTCACGCAGTAATGTGAGATGATATTACGTTTATAGACTTTGTTGTTGTAAACATATATTTTGCTGCTCTAGAATAAACATGCAGATATATTTAAACATAAATGAATGATTATCCTGGTCTGGTTTTACTCTTTTTTGTGTAAATATACTAGCAATTATTAAGTAATGAAAAATAAACCGTAATAGTATTGATACGTCAGACCGCTAAAGAGTATTGATTATCGAGTAATAGCATCAATTCAATCCTAATGATATATCTTGCTACTTACAACCAAAGGCGGTTTTTTTTTTTTGTTGCAAAAACAAGGACAACATATAATGATATATATATATATATATTTAATGACCTTCACTTTGATGAAGGTCATTAAAGCGTCAATCTGTTTTTAAATTCACAACACACACATTCCTACCTGCATTTCAGTGATCCATTTCTTCTCTGTAAATCGTCCTCCACTTAGTCCTTTCCTGATCCCCTTCATGTTTTGAATGATCTGAATTGCTAAGATGTGTATTGGATACCGAGTAACAAAGCTCCATGGAGACTTAGCTGAACCATGTGGCATCAGAAGATGCTGTGAGGGAGTTGATTAGTGACACATGGGT